GAGAACACCAGGTCCAGAGGCAGACTTCTCACCAAGGGGCAAAACTACGCTTTGGTTCTAATCCAAGGCCCTCCTAATCATGCTTGGTTTAGAAGGAAGAAAAACGTGTATTAAGGAAATAAGCAGCGACTTACAACTCTAACCCTTCCTTCTACATTCAGTTAGACAACCTGAGTATTTCATCCAACTTCCCCTCCCTAGTCTGTTAGGGTTCCCCTGGCATATAAAATAACTGTCTGGAGGGGGTCTCTGTGTGTGTGTGTGTGTGTGTGTGTGTGTGTGTGTGTGTGTGTGTGTGAGAGAGAGAGAGAGAGAGAGAGAGAGAGAGAGAGAATAATGCATTGGCACAGCCTTTACGCTAGACACATGGCTGGGTCATAACATGGTACTGAACAACGCGAGGCAGAGTCGACACTATCCAAGGCTAGGGAAAAACTATTAAAAAGGGGAGGGGCTTGGACCTGCCTCTACTGAATGTACCAGGCTCTGCTGACCTTACCTTCTTGTAGGAGGGAATGGGGGGTGGGTTGGGAGGAAGAGGCTGGAGGGGCGGGAGGAGGGAAGAGGTGGAATTTGTGATTGGTATGTAAAACGAATAAAAACAATTTCTTAATTAAAAAAAAAAAGTGAAACGACAGGGGACAGACAGGAGCGGCCCCGGCCTGTGAGGCCATCTTCATGCATCTTCAGTCGCTAGAAATCACTATTTTGCCTTGAAATCTGCCTGCCTGGTAACTTTCTACCCATTTCCATCCCTCTTAAATGCAAGCCTGCAGCCAGGGATTTGAAAACAGTTACAAGGTCACTTCACCAATGGAAGTGTAGGTACAGTTTTAGTAAGACGTCGTGCCCCATGAACACTCTGCCCATCATCATGCGGTGAAACTGTTGTCTCCCCTGAGTGAGGTCCTGAGTTTCCGTCCATCTGGCATATAGAAATAAGCTAAGAGCAGGCGGTTGGTGGCACACACCTTTGATCCCAGCACTCGGGAGGCAGAGACAAGCGGATCTCTGTGCTCGAGGCCAGCCTGGTCTACAAAGCGAGTTCCAGGACAGGCTCCAAAGCTACACAGAGAAAGAAACCCATCTCAAAAAAAAAAAAAAAAAGAAGTAAGCTAAATCTTTGTGTGTTCTTTCTTTTTCTCCTCTCTCACTGAACAGCCATCTTCCTTGAATAATCAGCTGGTATCTGTGGACTGCAAGAAAGGCACTCGAGTCCAAGCAGACGGTTCCCAGACCATGCTAAGAATTGCCGAGCCCGATGCGCGATTCAGTGGCTTCTACAGCATGCAAAAACAGAACCATCTACAGGCAGACAATTTCTACCAAACGGTGTGAACGCAGGCGGCAGCATGGATGAGGTTTTTTGAAAGACAGAAAACGACAAAAAAAAATCTGCTCTTTAAACTAGAATTTGTGCACTTGCTTAGTGGATTGTATCAGATTGTGACTTGGTGTCCGGCACTAAGGACTGTTATAACTGGGATGGGCTCTGTCTACAGCATTGTGCAGAACAAGCATTCCCACTTGGCCTCAAGATAACTGACCACATGTTTTCATAGAACCAAAGTTTTAAAACTTGCTAAAGTATATTTGCTTGTAAGATAGCTGTAGAGACATTTGGGGGTGGGACAGAGAGTTTGGTGGGGGAAATGGGTTGGGAGGGTAGTGTTGGGAAGAAAAAAAAAATCGGTCAGCTTGGCTTGGGGAGAAAGCCAGGAAAATAAAAAAGCAATTCATGGCCCAGAGGAATTTTTTTTTTTTTTCCGTTGCTCTGAAGACTGTGCTTGGGCCTGAATGAGCAGGAACACAAAAGGCCTTGCAACCCAGCTGCCGTACCACCAGACAAGCGCATCCGAACTCTCGATAGCCATCCCCCCTGTCTATAGCCCAAGTTTCCCTTCTTACAGTCACAACTGCAGTAGGCAGTGAGGAAGCCAGGGAAATGGAGAGCCACATTTCTCGAAAGCGGGTTATTAAGGATATATACAGTTTAACTCTTTTTTGCTGCTTCTGTTTTCTTCCGTGCCAATCAGCCAGTTCCTAGTAGAGACAGCAGATGGGTAAGGATGAGGTCACTTCTTAACTTGAGCACTGGAACTTTACTTCCCACGTGGCAGGAAGGAGGGCGAGGGTGAGGACACCAGGCATCTCCAGGGGCTATACTTCCTTGTTCGTTGTTTTCTTCTGTTCTGTCGTTTTTGGTTGTTCATAGTTTTGTTGAGGCTCTAGCTTAAAGAAGAAATTTTTTTTTTTAAGACTGTTTGGGATTTTTTTTCTTTATTATATACTGATTCTACAAAATAGAAACTACTTCATTTTAATTGTATATTATTCAAGCACCTTTGTTGAAGCTCAAAAAAATGATAATGATGCCTCTTTAAACTTTAGCGATTATAGGAATATTTATGTAACTATCTTATGCTTCAAAAACAAGAGTATTTGTGTGCATGTGTATATAATATATATACATATATATTTATACACATACAATTTATGTTTTCCTGTTGAATGTATTTTTATGAGATTTTTAACCAGAACAAAGGCAGATAAACAGGCATTCCATAGCAATGCTTCTGATCACTTAGGGTTTTTTGAATAACACAATCTCATTTATCTGCAGTTTAATTGGAAAGAAGAGATGTGAGTGTGTGCGTGCATGCGTGTGTGGGTGGGTGTGCGCGTGCGTGCGTGGGTGTGTGTGCACTTTGAGCAACCAGCATCCCACCTGCTATGGAAAGGATATTCCTTTATTAAAATCTTCTTCCTCGTTTGGATTTGCTTTCACTGTTTTCAATTTGCTCACTGGCCAGAGACACCGATGGCAGTTTTGTATCTGCATCACTAATCAGCTCCTGGATATATATATATATATTTTTTTTCAAACAACTGTTTGAAACAACTACTGGAATATTGTCCACAATAAGCTGGAAGTTTGTTGTAGTTTGCCTCAGATATAACTGACTGTATTCTATAGTGTTAACTTTTCAAACAGCTCTTAGCACTTTTATACTAATGACCCACTTGTGCATTGATTTGCCTTTTCAAAATGCTTGTTGTGAAAGACACGGATACCCAGTATGCTTAATGTGAAAAGAAAATGTGTTCTGTTTTGTAAAGGAACTTTCAAGTATTGTTGTAAATACTTGGACAGAGGTTGCTGAACTTAAAAAAAAAATTAATTTATTATTATAATGACCTAATTTATTAATCTGAAGATTAACCATTTTTTTTGTCTTAGAATATCAAAAAGAAAAAGGTGTTCTAGCTGTTTGCATCAAAGGAAAAAAGATTTATTATCAAGGGGCAATATTTTTATCTATTTCCAAAATAAATTTGTTAATGATATGATGTTACTGAAATAGATTTACATCAGCCTAATTAGTATAAAATTTTGTTGACAATTTATCCATTCCTGGCATAAGAAAAAAAAACTTTATCAAAAAAAAATTGTAAATGCTTGCTTTTTGTTTTTTCAATCATGGCCATATGAAAATACTAACAGGATATAGGACAAGGTGTAAATTTTTTTTTATTTTAAAGATATGATTTATCCTGAGTGCTGTATCTATTACTCTTTTACTTTGGTTCCTGTTGTGCTCTTGTAAAAGAAAAACAAATATAATTTCCTGAAGAATAAACCGGGCATATAGCACTTGGAGTGCACCAGACTTCTGGAGTGGTGGTTTTTGTCTTCATCAAGAGAAGCTGAGAAGGGACGATTTACAGGCTGCTTCTCGGCAGCAAATACACACTCCATCAAAACCACGCAATTCACAAGCACTTCTGACCTGGGGTAAAAAGCCAAGGGCCTCACAGGGTAGCCTGGTCAGCACACCCCAGCAACAGGAAGAAGCATGGGTGTCCCACAGCAGGTGGCCCTTCCCCAGGAACTCCTGCAGAAAGTTGTCCTTAGACACACTGCACAGGATGCTGCTCTTGCCAAGACAAGAAGCCAGCCGGCGGCGGCGGGCCTGTCTGCTGTCAGTCACAAAGGGGGAAAGGTACTCATCATTAGAACAAACTGAATAGCCCTGTTCCAAAGTACTGCAAACACCAGACCTCCATAGGTTTTTACAATATCTCTGTATACAGTGAGATACTTTGGGGATGGGACCCAACTATGAAAAGTATTTCTGTTTCACATACGTACCTTTCAGACACAGTATCTGGGTGATCTAAGTAACACTTTGATTAACCTGCCCCATGCGGCCAGCTGTGGAATTTTGCACATGACACTTGGGGTATCATGTTGGTGCTCATAAAGGTTTTAAAACATTTTTGGATTTAAGATTTGGGTGCTTCACCCATCAAAACTAAGTCACCACGGGCTTGGTTTTTGTTTGGTGGGGCTTCCTATGCAGTTTACTACTGAAGAACAAAATGTTTATAAAATAAAATTGGGGAACCCATTGAAAGAAAACTGGGTATAGGAAAGCAGGTGGAATTTGAAGCACAACACAGAATAAGTCATAAGCAGGTCAAGGGCTGCTAAACTCATCTTTATAACTCTTTCTTTAGTCTAAGGCACCTTACAAATGTCTGTTCTAATCAGCTTTTTAAAGTATTAATACCGTGGCTTCAGCAATTCAATGGGATGTGGTAAACAGTCCCACACCTTCACTATCAAGCATGACACTGAGGTCCACCGTCTCCTAAGTGCCAAGTGCCATCAGACCTCAGACAGCTACAACTACAGCACTCAACAGTATTCCACTGACTGGAGTAGGGGGCGCAGATGCCCTGCATCCACAAGACGCTAAGGCGTCCACTCATTTTCTCTTGGAGGGGGCTGCCATGACGCTTTAGATTCTCACTGCCCAGCAAAATAGGAGGATGGCTGTCACTGCACAGCGGTGTGGTATGATCTCAAAAGGTCCCTGTCCTACTCTGCCATCTAGGCTAATCAGAACTTCCCCAGTGCGCATGCCTTAGTGGTAAATTCTACATGCAGTTCAAGCATCAGCACTGTGAGGGCAAAAAACAAAGACTCAAGACCCTTAAGTATGTATTATTTATTAAATGTCATTGACTTGATTGAAACTGGCAAAAGTGTTCATGATTAGTGCTGTAGCCGTGAGCAGCTTTTTCTAGAAAAGCACACAGGTGTAAATAAAACTGAACACAACCATGAGAACAGGCAGTACCATAGTAGCTCTTTAAGCACCTTAGAGGGCATGGACCTCTTTCAAAACACACTTCTTCACAGACACAGAACACCCACGTTCATAATGACTCCGAATGGCATCCTAATGGCTCACAAGTCAACAATGGTGAAATAGGCCGAAGTTACAAAATGAGTTCCCAACAGTGTCCGGCATCCACGATTAGGTCAAGGTAGTGCAAGTGTGGCGCTCCGCTTCCCAACAGCCCACACTCGTCTCAGTCTCTGGGCAATACTGGCAGGTAATATTCTCAGGATGCTCTCAACACTCAACACTGATTCTCACCATCCCTGGAGAACAGCTCGGGTCGGCTCTCCCAGTGCTTGAATCTAGTTCTTCAGTCAGTTCAGATGGAGGAAGTCAAAGACCAACAGCCCCACTGGCAACGGAAACCGTACCGGCATGCACAGCTCCTATCCCTCTCTCTCCTCCATCTGCTAAGTCTGAAACCAGTTCACAATGGTTAAGTTTTCCAAAATCTATCTCCAGAGCTCAAGAGTGCCATAGCTCTCTCGGTGCTAGAATATGATGGATTAGTGAAGTCGTGATCTATTAACACTGAATTGCAAATCCAAGTTCAAGTGTGCTGGGTCTCCAAAAGCAGGGACTCCAGATAGCCACCTTCCAGAGTGACACCGCAGGAGGTCAAGCCTGGAGTCCACAGGAGGGGAAGCGCTCCAGGTGATGCTGCTCTATGTAGGACACAGAACTACAACAAAGAAAAGAAACAGGTTGAAATGCATCTTCTGCATACACCTGAACTAAACCTATGAAATGTTACATACACGCTCTATGTATATGAAAAGGCGACCACCAACGATAAGAAGTTCTCTGAGACACATTATTAGAATTTTCCAGAAATGAGACACCTAAAGGCCATGTCTCTTGGGGTACCATATGAGATGTAAGCCCGTCACTCCAGCCCCAAGTCCTGTAACAGCACAGGCCTCTGGAGACGTCAAAGACGGGCTGGGACAGTGGCAGCCATACTGTGGCCCGGGTCTTGGGTACCGTAAATGAAGTCAACAGTGGCTGTAGGGGGTATCAGTGTGAGAAGTTGCATTCTCCCAGCAGACCCATTCCATCTTAGGCCAGATGGGGTCATTGACCTTGGCTTTCTCACCTTTGCATTAAATCTAAGGAGCTATATTTACACAGCCAGGCCGTAGGTGTCTCTCTTAAGCCAAGAGAAGGAGCACCATTCTCCACTCTGAGCAACGATAGCCCCTCCCACTCAGGGTCCCATGCCTGGTCCCCAGGAAGAGTGACTGTTGACAGGCTGAGTGGAAAAGAGCATTTTAGTACCTGCAAGCCCACACCGGCCCCTCCCCCAATCCCTGACACACTTCTACATTCTGTCGTCGTCCCCCCCCCCCCCCCCCCCCCCCCCCCCCCCCGGTCATGTTCTAGACTACAGCATCACTGCGGGAGTCTGAGCTCTGGCTGCTTTCCAACCCAGTCTGCACAGCATAACACGGAGACAGAACCACAACCTGTGCAGAGAGCAGCTCACGGGAAGCGGGTACAGCGTGACCAGACACGGCTCAAAGACAGCCAGTGCCCCGAGTGGGAGGGCAGGCCCAGGAGTGGGGGACACCCGCCTCCCCAAGTGGAAGGACGAGATTTACAGTAGTGGTCCTAGGTTTTCAAAGTGAGAACTCCTCTTCTCCCACAGCCCTGTTCCCAGGCTACAACATCCTCCAGAAGCCACTGGCTGGCTGTCCTGGCAGAGACCTCCAGACCCACTGTATTAAAGACTGAGACGTGTTCTTTATGTTCGTCTCCTTCCTGTTACATCCAGGACAAACCGCAGGGCCATCCAGCTTTAAAACCAACGCTAGCACAACACAAAAGCAAACATAGGCGTCAGGTACAAAAAAAAAAAAAGTCATTAATTTCGTAGGGAGAAAAGGCCATCCATCAGGGGAAAAAAAAAGAACACTTTTAAACAAGATGCCGACAGCCCTTTCCACCCGTGTTCACCGCTGGCAAACGGCTGGCTGCTGTTGTTACACGTCGAGTCTCTACAAATGGTACTTCTGCATCCTTCACTGCGAGCCCCTTTCGTTTCTATGAATAAAAAGTCCATCCAAGACAGCAAATGTCTCAGGGGTCACGACACTTTTATCTCCTGCTAACTGGGGGAGGAGAGAGGCCAAAGACAGCAGTAATGAGAAGAGCTTGCTCTCCAAACCCAGACTACGAGATGTAAATTCTGTGCCGCTTTCCAATCCGGTCCGTGAACAAATGCTGCCTTTAACAATGAGCCCACTGCCCAGCAGCCACTTTTCCTATAACTGAGTGAGCTCTCTAGTCCCCTCGCCTGAGGATGGACTATTAACATTTTTGCCCTTTTCTCAGCAAATGAGGCCCGTTATCTTATGACTTCTTTTCCCTCCTCAGTACCCCCAGCCTGTATGATCCAGATCGTGTGCTCTAATATTTACAGCCCACGTCTCACTGTTGAGAAATGTCGTTTTTCTCCTTCCCTTCTCTACCTGAGACTTTGGTCTGTTCTGCGCTCCCCTTGGCAGTGTCCACAATTTTTCCTCCACCATCTGCCCTGGCAGATCTGTCCTTCCGGAATTTCCTACTGCCCTCGAGATAAGACACCACCCTTCCCAAGCTTCCAGGACCATTATGTCCATACCTGATACTCAGAAAGAGTGGACATATCTTTTAATTATTTTAAAAATGTATTCATTTTTTGAAGCAGGGTCTCACTATGTACGCCGTGGGCTGCCTGGAACTCTCTATGTAGACCAGGCTGGCCTCAAACTCAGAGGTCTACCTTCCCTCTGCCTCCCGAGTCCTGGGATTGAAGGTGTGCACCACCACACCCAGAGTCCAATGTCTTTTTTTTTTTTTTTTTTTTGGTTTTTCGAGACAGGGTTTCTCTGTGTAGCTTTGCGCCTGTCCTGGAACTCACTTGGTAGCCCAGGCTGGCCTCGAACTCACAGAGATCCGCCTGGCTCTGCCTCCCGAGTGCTGGGATTAAAGGCGTGCGCCACCACCGCCCGGCCCCAATGTCTTTTTAATTCTCTCCTCCAGTAAGTGTTCACCACTCAGCTGTGGGAATACTTTGCAGCGCAGGATCTCCAACAGAAGCTACGTTCTGTAGAGTCCAAATGTTACAGTCATCCATCAGTCACCTATCTACCGTCACTGTACATTAACAAAGCTGTGCGAACATTTTCTTCTGTCAACAAGAGGATGCATTTCCTGATTAATCACGGCTCCTCAGCCACTGCTCCCACACCATCATAAAACTCACCTTTCAGAATATAGTCAGTTAACAAGCTTGGAACTTTCTCGCTGTCCTCCTTCATGGCCTGCAGAACTACAAAATAAGAAAAAGACAATGGCAATAACTCATGGTTCAGGTCAAAATGATGTTTAATCTCAAAGTTGTAGCCTTAATCCTAATGAATGATACAGTGTAACTGAGCCACACAAATTACACATAGATTCTTTTCTAGATAAGGGAATACAGTGAAGAAGTGAGATTCATTTCCCTGGTTTAATGTTCTCAAGCCTGGAGGCAGGCAAGAGGCACTGGGCTGTGTGCTGAGCATCTGCTTTGTTCTAGTGGAAGCTGGGAAGTAAGTGAAGGACAATATATTGTGCGCTTTGATAAGCCGTGAACCCTCAAAGGTCCTCAGAACTGGAGGACCTCCTGGAGAAAGGGGAGATTTAGCTGTACTCTCCAAATAATACACAAGTCAGATTTAGAGAAAACATTTAAAGAGCAAATGAAGAAAGACCTAAGAGGCAACTCTGCATCTGGTAGGCTCTGAACACCTTCTCTGCTAGGGAAGAAGATGAGGAGACATCTCATAAAGAGATCACGTGAATGTGTGTGCGTGTGCGTGTGCGTGTGCGTGTGCGTGTGTGTGTGTGTGTGTGTGTAGACCAAAACAGAAACACCAGCCACTCAGCATCAGGTTTTCAGTCTTGGTTTTTAATCTAAATCACCTAGGTAGAGACAAACTCACAACTGGACCTTCACAGTTAATTATTCCCCTGGATGTATGAGAAGACTGCACATTGTAACCATCCAATCAGCCGTCTGGGGTTTTTAACCCTGGCTCTGCCACTTCTCTTACTCAATAAAGTAAGGACTTTATTGCCCTGTGTACCAAGTTCCTCATCTGTAACCTAAGGGTAATAACTAGGTCTGTCTCAGAGGCTGTATGATGAGGATCCAGCTCCTCATTACATATGGACAACATATACAGTGACTTCCGTTAAACACAACTATTGTAACTCTCATGATGAGGAAGGCCACCCACCCATAAATGGCTTTTGTTCTGTGGTAGTAGCAGAGGCCCTGGTGTCCCCAAACGCCTTCACCAGAGAAACACTTCTCCTCATCTATTGTCAACAGCATCATCACAGCTATCTTAGAGTGGACATCTTAGATGCTACTCCGTTGCCCAAAGATGCCCAGAGATTCCCAAAATGGTGTCCATATAGGAAAGCAGCATCTAAGAATCATCTAAGAACGTTCTAGGGATGCAACACTCTAGGGAACGGCAATGACTTTGGTCTCATCCCCGTGCTGAGGTGCTTGGGGTGGGTTCCATAATTCCTGTTTTTCTGTGCAGTATTTATGCTCCCTCCCTCAGACAACTGTTAGGCTCAGCACCGCCGCTTTCAATCAGGTTTCAAACTTTTTTAACTTCTCTATAAAAATCACATTCCGAGGGCCAGTGTCATCGGGGTTGAGTTGCCCAAGAATTAAGAGACTCGACTCCCGTAATTAACCGTCTTATGTGATCTTGGACACTCACAAATTTGCAAGCTCTTGCTGAAGGTGAGAGGACTGGCCACCCAGCTGAGCTCTGGCTTCTTTATCTTAGACTGACTGGCATCACTTGATTTATCTACATCTAAATATAAGACTTTTTATGTACTGTTCACCATGGAAAAGAGTAAACAACTGAGGTTAGCAGGCAGCCGAGGGGCTGAGAGGGAGCCACTTCTCCCCCTCAGGCTTCCCACCCATGTGTCACCATCAGTATCCACCCACGCAGTCCATTTGCATGTCCTTCTGTAAGCAATTATCACAAAAGTTACAATTAGAAGTAATCTAAGTAATAAGCCGGGCGGTGGTGGCGCACGCCTTTAATCCCAACACTTGGGAGGCAGAGCCAGGCGGATCTCTGTGAGTTCGAGGCCAGCCTGGTCTCCAAAGCGAGTTCCAGGACAGGCGCAAAGCTACACAGAGAAACCCTGTCTCAAAAAACCATAAAAAAAAAAGAAGTCATCTAAGTAATAAATCTAATCCTTTATACTTTGTTTGTCGTGAGACAGGGTCTTACTCTGTAGCCCAGGATGGTTAAATCTCATAATCTCACGGCAATCCTCCTGCCTCAGCCTTCTCAGTGCTGGAATACATATGTGAGCCACCATGGCCAGTGCTCAATCCCTTCACTTTCTTTCTTTCTTTTTGTTTTTTAGTGAGATTTGAACAACTATTTATTTGTTTGTTTGTTGTGTGGGTGGGTGGGTGTTTTGCTTACATGTCTACTCATGTATCATGTATGTGTCTGGCAACTGTGGAGGCCAGAAGGGGCATCAGATTCCCTGGAACTAGAATCACAGACAGTTGTGAGCTGCAAACTGAACCCAGGTCCTCTGGAAGAGAGGCCAGTGCTCTTAACCACGGAGCCCAACTTACCCCTGATTGTGACTTACCCCAAATCATATGTAATTTATTTGCTATAGGGTAAGCTGAGAAAATATTTTTATTCTAATTTTCCAATGCTACCAAGAAAGAGAAAGTGACTTCCAAGAATATCCCTAAAAATAAAAGTGACCAGATTTCTGTGGCCTTTTATAACTACTCTAAGACATGCTTAATACATCTACTTGCTAATCTCACAAACCATTTTCAAATGTACTGCCACACACACATGGAGTACCTTTATCTGCTTTATTCATTAATATATCTACAGTGCTCAGAAAGGAGCCTGGCATACAGCAGGTCTTAACAACATTTGCTGAGTGAATGCATGTTCTTAAAATCTCCCTGCAGCTAATACCTCCGGTTTTCCGTTCACAAGAAGGTGGGGTATTTACCCTAAAATCTCTACGTCTTTCCTATTCAGCCACTAAAGTCACATAAGACCCACAAAGCATTTTATTTGTTGACAGACATGTTCTCATGTAAGATGATGGAGATTCAAGGTACATGTTTTCTATTTAAAAAAAAAAATTAAGCTCACAGATAATTCAAAAATTAAGAAGAAAAAATTTAAACAATGAACACCAGAGTCAGCACTACATTTGATATTATAGTTATTCATTTCACTGTCATACGAATAAAGGATGCCATCCATCATTTACCAGCCTCCACTGACAAAATAAACAAAAATCAAATCCAGAAATGAAAACCAAGAGTTTAAGAATCAGCAAGAGTCAAAGGAGCAAGCAAACAAGTAAATTTGTCTCCGCTCACTTTTTGTTAATATCTGAAGATCCTCGACAGATGGTGGGCCGTTCTTTTTCTCATAAGGGATGACTGTCGTCAAATACTGCCAAGGTAAAGGGGGGGAGAAAAAGCATCGTTTAGGCCTGAATAAATTCACCTTCAAAACAGTGCAGTTCCTAGATGGCCTACTCTAGAACACGAACAAGAGCTGGTTTGGAGACGAGCGCAGGGAACAGGCAGCAAGCCCGCAAGTCTGACTCTTTCCACTGGGGCTCATTTTTCTCCCCAGTTCTCCCCGCTGTGTGTGAACCTCACAGGAACATCAACAACCACCTCCCTGTGGTTCAGCCATTGACCATTCCTCAGACCTCGGCCTGAGGACCACTGGCTCAATTTGCTCATTTTGAAGGTGGAGTCTTACCTAGCACTCTCCCTGCAAGTTTTCAACACAGTTTCACAACAGTTATTAAGCTAACAGCATAGTTTTAACAATACTATACAACTGATAATTTCTGGAAGTCAAATCATTCCTTTTCAGACCATTCTTATTCTGACTGAAAGCTACGGTCAAATGAATAACATGATGACATTTCAGAACACAAACCAGCTTCTTCTAGACATGAATAACGAAGACTCACTTCCCCAAACAATTACTGAAACATATAATTAATATTTAAATGATTGTATAAGTATGCATAAGTGATTTTAGATATTAGAGATGAGAAAAGTGAGAAAGAATGGCCTAAAAGGTAAATGAATAATAAAAATAATCTCCAAATTTGTCACAAATTGCCCAGCCAGTTCACTCCCTCTAAAGGCTCATGATTATCACACTTGCATCCAAAAAGAGAAAAGAAAATCTCACGAAAGCATGTTCTAGAAATAACTGTCTAGAATCTCTATTCTGGAGTTCAGGGCAGTTTGCAAAGGCTCACATAGAAAGTTGGTGCCCTGGCCAGTCCTTGAGCTTCTTCAAGCTTGTCCTCCATGTTCGTTCTCAATTCCAACTCTGTTCCTAATCCCCATGGACCGTGTGAGTCTATAAATAAAATAACTGGGCCCGAGGTCCAGACAGTAGGAAAAATGAGCTGTTCCACTTTTTTAAACCAAAGTGCCCCACAGCCTTTCTGGACTAGACTTCTCCAGGTAAGGCTCAACTGTACAGCCAAGTATGTTTCTTTATAAAAATGCCCATTAAAGACGGGCATGTGCCCCCCGAAGATTTCGGTCATGCATCAAATATGAAGCATCATCAGGAATCTATGCCGCGGCCGTGGGCCCACCTCCTCATGAGTCAGGTCGGTTTGGAAGCTATTTTTCCTTCCTGCGGGTTGATGGAGGTAAGTGGCAGAGAATAAAAACTGGGATTCAACCGTCCGCATGGAGCCTCTCTCTCTATCAGCTGTGAATGGCAGTGCGAGCCTGCCCTCTTTAATACCAGTCCTCACCCCCGAGTGATGCACAAAAACCCTCTGTAGAATCACCAGGCATTTGGTTCTTTGGATTCAACTGCCTACACGCCCCATTGGCACACCTTCTTCATCATCCAAGACCTAGCCTACGAGAGTGTCTTTCTTCAGATGGAGTTTTCCAAGAGGGAAAGATAATTTCAAAACAGTCACCAATATATACACTTCCCATGTTTGTGACCCTCCTCTGAATTATGCCAAACTGTAAATACAAACCAAGTCACTTCACATCGGACTGTACAGGCTCATGGCATATATTTCTGTATACATGATATTGTTCCTCACTTGGCCGACAACTGAGCTGGCTCACCATACAACGTGTGTAATTTCAGATACAAGAGGTAAAATACACTCTCTGCGTATTTTTTACCTAAGACTCTATAATCTCAAAGATACCAACCTCTGGCCACATTCTCCTTAAAATGAGATCTTCTTTCCCAGATTTTTGTAAGTAGAGTATCATGTTCCACTTCAGCTGTCTCCACAACCAGCCCTTTCCGCGCATGCAATCCATTATGTCAGTATATTAATATCTATTTGTTAGAGGTGGGCATGAGAAACTGGGGCCCTGAAACCGGCTTAAGAATGCAATTAGTCTGTTGTCCAATCTAAATGCTCTTTCTCCCAGGGGGATTCTCTTCATTATTGGGACTGCAGATATAATGAACCTGTGCTTCTCTCCTGCGGTGGTCTTAATAAATTAGTAAAAGTGCCAACTTTCAGGGCCCACACAGACAGAGAAAAGGAACAAGCAGGAGGAGAGGAAAATAAGGATAATGGAGCACCTGTTTCTCTCCACCTGAGTTTCCAAAGGTGTGGCGGAGGCCATTCTGAATGACATTTGAGATCCCTTCCATGCTGAAGCGCTAAAGGCAGCATTGTATGGCCCAGGAAGAAAAGGACAGAGAGAGAAGTTCAGAGACTTTTAGTAGAATGTTCCGTGATGATTTTCCGTGCCCAACAGACAAGCAGTTAGAAAATGCCACAATTACTCATTCTCATAAAGCAGATGAAACCATGCTGTTTAGAAACTGTTTGTGCTTCCATGCCTGTATGAGTCCAGTGCAAAACCCACTGCTGGTAGGCCATCATACCCCCAGAGATCGTCCCTGGTGTAACTAACAGATTTGTTCCCGTTTCTTATAAATGTCAGCTGTACACACATTTTATTTCACACACAATTTTTAAGATACCTTTGGATACTGTTTACCTACATTTCATCCCAAGACTGACAACTTGATCCTGAGTGACGGGCCTATTCTGGGCTCAAGATCACTCGTTCCACCCTCAGTTTGGGGAAGACAAAGCTAACATTTGGCAGATGAGCATGCTGCCACCCAGGGAGTCGACTGTTCCCACTCACTCTCCAGGCACCCACCACTGCCTTGCTGCCGAAAGAAAATGTGAACTGGAAGATGGTATGTGCTTCCTGGGGAGCAGAATGGATCCCATTTTACCAGCTGAGCACCCCAAAACTTTTGTGAAGACTATCCACTCTGTTTGTAGAAAACAATTTCAGCTGATTTCTCCCAGCAACCTCCAAGAAGACTTCCTGGAATTCACTGCACTCAGATGAGACTTTCTTTTTCCTGTCAGTGACCTATCTGTGTTTGTAACCAGCCTGCACAGTCACATGCATGGTAAAAAGGGCCACTGGTACCTGTCTAACAGCTGAGTCAAAGGCAGGAGAGAGATTCTTGCAGCATGACTAACTAAGGGAAAGGCTCCTGAGAAGGAAGCTGTCGTCTGAGTCACCGGATGGTGCCTTTCCCTGGAATTTCAGGGGGAAAGTTGAGCCAGTAAACACTGAAGGAACAAACTTGAACATATTTTTCCAGGTCCCAAGGAAACCACAGCAGTTGTCTCTGCTCTCATAAAATGTATACACTAGTCCAAGTGATCTCTAAGTGTGGCCCAGGTACAAGTTAAGAGGCAGCTGAAATTCTCCTAGAGGTACATGAACTCAAACACCTTCATATCATCAAGACATGATCTTTTCCTTAATTACTGTTGTATATTCATTGTGCACAGTTAGGCTTCACGCCATTCCTTTCAAGTCCATCATGTACTCTGGCCATATACAGCACTCCAGTTCTCTCAGTCTGTCACAACGTACAGTGCAATATTCTGAAGGACACACAGCATGCAGAAGCAGAGCTGAGACGCCTGTCCTTCAGTGACGCCACACATCCACAAGACTGACAAAAACAAACACCAATGACATTTTCCTAACCAAAAGCTTTCCAGTTACATTCTAGGAAAACTTATCATTTATATAAGAATTAATCATTTAGCTCTGGTACTCAAATGAATTAATCTTTTATTAGTTTTAATTTTTAATACAGTAAATATTGATCAATTTAATATGTATGAAGTAAAGCCCTCTGAGGCCCTCAATAAATATTAAGAGTGGGAAGAATCCCTGATTATCAGAGAGCCTGAGAAATATAAACAGGGTTACTCCTCAAGGAGGCAGACTGTGCTTCTGGTCCAGCCCCACCAGCCCAGGGCACTGCTGAACCCCGAGGGCACCCACACTTGTCCTGTGGGAGTTGTTCAGCACACCTCGCCTTTTCCACCAGTCTCCTGCCCCACCTTTTCCAGATCCATATCCACACACAGTTTTCTGTTGGCAAGAATCAATTATCTGGTTGATAATTGACACTTCCACATGACACATGGCTCCTTACTCTGCTGAGAATATAACTTCTTGTTTCTTTTTTTTTTTTCTTTTTTCTGTTTTTTTTTTTTTTTTTTTTTTTTTTTTTTGGTGGATTTTTGAGACAGGATTCCTCTGTGTAATAGCTTTGGCTGTCCTTGAACTCGAGTTGTAGACCAGGCTAGCCTCGAACTCCCAGAGATCCGTCTGCCTCTGCCTCCCCAGTGCTGGGATTAAAGGCGTGTGCACCACCACACCTGGCTAACGATTACTTTTGATGGAAGAGATAGTTTTTTACAATAAAACCTACAAACAACTAGTTTTGAAGATTCTTCACACACCACATTGTAATTTGTTCCCTATTTTTAAAACAGATTATCAGAGAGATGATGTCACAGGCTCCCACGTCAACAATAAACACGATAGGAAATGATTTTCAAGTAAACAAGTCAGCTCCTTATTTAAGCATTCTACAAAATTCATTCCCTTGGAAAAGCACTTAAAAGAATGCTTGTTTCAGTCTGCATTACCTGGCTGCATTTTCTGTGGACACGCTAAAGCTAGGTAAGAACTCAGAAAACCTCAAGCTGGGCAAAGGAGTCAGAACACACATGCGAGAAAACTCAGGTACAGTCCAAATTCATTAGCTTTATTTTCCCAGTCAAAACCTAATTAGGATCACTGAAGGAAAAAAACAAAGCCAAACAAAAAGAAGGTCCATACACATTCATAAGACGCATGCGCAGTTTCAGATTTCCTTTTTAAATACACAGACGTGAGCACCACTGGACTATTTCAATCACAAGAAAGTGAGGGATGATGTTCACACTATCAGAACTCTAGCCTGGTAGGAAGAAGTCAAAATGGAACCACGGGAAACCCACACAGGCGGGAAAACACAAGCCCGCCCGCCTACTGAGGCTAGCCAAAGAAACTGAAGTCCAAGTTTCCCAACAAAACTTCGGCCATGCCTGCGCTGGCAGACACAGCCAAGGGCACCCAGCCCCGGAGCACTCCGCAGCCAACGGCCAAGCCAGAGGAGCAAGACGGCACATGGCAGGACCCTACTGCACTTTGTACCACTGCAAAAAAAAAAAAAAAAAAAAAAGTCATCTAAATAGACAGTCGAGAGACTCTAGGGACACAGGGGTGGTGTGTGTGTGTGTGTGTGTGTGTGTGTGTGTGTGTGTGTGTGTCAGAGAGAGAGAGACAGAGAATACACAACACAGAACCCAAGAGAGAGAGAGAAAGAGAGAGAGAAAGAACACAATTAACAGATCTGGCTGAGAACTGAGTGTTCTAGCTACTATGAATGCCGGCCTCCCTGGGAAACTGAGTCACAGTTCTCCCCTTCACTCATTCCCACCCTTTTTTCTAAGGGCTTTCTCAGTGACCAAACCCTCAACCTACTTTCCCCAGAGTTATCTTCTTTAACATTCAAGTCCAAAGACACCTCAGATCCCTGTGAGACCTCTAGGAATCCCTGCTCGCCAGTTCTTTTCTCCGGATTCTTGACACCACATTCTTGAGTATCCGACTGTCCCTGCCCAGTGTTCCCCTGGGTTCCAATCCCATTTGGGTTTTTCAACTGTCACACTGTGAGTGTGTGTGTGTGTGTGTGTGTGTGTGTGTGTGTGTGTGTGTGTGTGTGTCTGTCTGTATCTGTGTGTGTCTGTGTCTGTGTGCCTGTGTCTAAGGATAGGTCTTGCTACACTGTCCAGGCTAGCCTCCAACTCCTAGACTCAAGCATTCTCCTTCTTCAGCCTCTGAGGGATTGGGACAACAGGCACTTGCCAAAAGCTACTGTGCCCAACCATTAACGATATTTGTGATGGGAGATACAGGGCACAATATCTGAAGAAAGATGGACAGGAGTGGGAGCAGAGAAAGATTAAGTCAATTTTTCATAAATTTTATGGAAACAAAGTCAGATGAGATGCACCTTTATGTCCCTAAAAGCACAGCTTTGTCCTCAGCATAAGAGGACCTGATCAACGTACTGAGCCACAAGGCTCTATCCTGGGGATGTCTTTCTGTATGCTGTGAATGTGTTGCTCTGATTGATTGATAAATAAAACGCTGATTGGCCAGTAGCCAGGCAGGAAGTATAGTATAGGCAGGATAAGCAAAGAAGAGAATTCTGGGAAAAGGAAGGCTGAGTCAGGAGATGCTGCCAGAAGCAAGATGTAAAGTACCCGTAAGCCACAAGCCATGTGGCAACTTACAGATTAATAGAAATGGGTTAATTTAAGATATAAGAATTAGACAGCAAGAAGCCTGCCACGACCATACAGTTTATAAGTAATATAAGTCTCTGTGTGTTTACTTGAGTCTGAGCAGCTGCAGGAGCTGGGTGGACACAGAAAAATTTCAACTACTAATGGTGCCCAATGTGGGGCAAGAGTTTTCACCTAAAACCTTAAAAAGAAGATTCTAAAACGAAGCTAAAAACAGCTTCCTAGTTGTCTCTCTCAAGTTAGTGGCAGCCTGCAGGCTTGAGCTACTCTATGCGGGTTCCTGGCGTGTGGGCTTGACCTACAGCATGGCGGGCGGGAATGAGGCGTCTCCAAGCCACACATTACACTGCGTGGTGAATTTAGCTTTTGCTAGTACAGACAAAAAAAAAAAAAAAAAAAAAAAGAGGTTTCTGGGCTACACGCTGCTTTGATAAAAGCATAGACCCACTGCTTCTGAGAGTCGATGGTACACATGCTCCCAGACCCAGAGCTGGCGGTAAACGTAAACATGCCATGCTGGGAAGCTGAGATGGGCGGAGCCAGCAGCCACTGCTGCTGTTTCAGTTTTAGTAATGCTGCAGTTTAAATCACAATATGACAGATTCAGATGGAATAGTTTACAATGTGTGTAAAAGTGTATGGAGGCTTGGAAGAGAGACAAAAAGGGATATACGCAGTTATATGAAGAAATAGTTTTAAAAAATAAAGTCTTTAAAGAGAAAGTAAAAGTAGTATAAAAATAAGCCATGTAAAGATGGATAATACACAGAGAATCTGGGTTGTGTTGTCTTTGTGATTTTTTCTTTTTTTTTTTTTTTTTTTTTTTTTTTCGAGACAGGGTTTCTCTGTGTAGTTTTGGTGCCTTTGCTGGAACTCACTCTGTAGCCCAGGCTGGCCTCGAACTCATGGCTCTGCCTCCCAAGTGCTGGGATTAAAGGTATGTGCCACCACCGCCCGGCCATCTTTGGGA